CCACTAAGAAAATAGCAGACATGCTGACGTTGGAGGATGCTGGCACGTGAGAATCAGTGCTTTGGTGCAAATGGTGTTTGCGTCTAGGATGGGGGCTTGGGAAGTGAGGGCTAGACTTTAATGTACATAATAATCATCCAGGAGATGCATTTTAAAAATGAATATGCCAGGACTCCACACTCCGAGGCTCCAACTTCCTAGCAGGGAGTGTGCCCAGGATTTATGTTTGTGACAAACATCTCCAGTGATTCTGGGTCAAGCCCTTAAGCTCTTCTTTGAGGTCTTGACCTGGCCCTGTTGTGATATAACTTTCTTGTATGGCTTTAAAGTTTCCATTTTTATTTAGAAGAGGTAATTTTAGCACCAAGCTCACAGACACCCAAATAGGCAAAAGCAGCATTGTCTTGGGGGACCCAGATTCCTCATGTGTAAATGCAGAAAGCTAGGTGAAGTGTATTTCTCTCTGAAAGACTCCTTCATGGCGACTATGAATTATCTGTGAAGCACAGGTAAATGGAAACCTTGTGAGTACTAAACTCCTTTCTTTAGAATATTATAAAGATCCATATATATGTTTGGGTTACATAATTGAACTCTTTCACACTTACTTAGCTCCTACTGTATACCAAGCCCCATGCAACGAACTTTATAATACACTGTCTCCTACAATTACTCCTGCAAACCAAATGGAGAGTGGATAATCCAATTCTCTCTATTTTGGCAATGGCAGAGTGGAAGTCCTAAACATTTAAGTGGCTTACGAAAAGGCACACAGGCTGATTCCACTCTGAAGAACAGCAATTAAATCTCAGTACTGTGCCACCAGTTCCCCAACTTGACTGCTTCCCCACGGTGCTGGACTTATTCAGGGTTTAAGATTCATTTTGCAAAAGAAACAGATTTCCAAAGACAAGACTTCATCTTGATTAGGACACTCTATTGGGCTAAGGCATCCTTAAGATGCTGTCTCCCAGACAAGGTTTTATTATTACTTTTTAATTTCAGATTAATATGAGGGTACATGTGATTAGGTTACAGTGTTTGCACTTGTAAGGTGAAGTCCAAGTTGCAGCTGTGCCCCTCACCCAGAAAGTGTGCCATTTGCCTATATATTGTACCTGTTAAGTGGGAACTTACCAAGACCCCTCAGCCCCTTCTTGATTTTAATTGAGATTCTCTCTGATGTGTGAACGTTGCTGCTAATCTACACGTTTCAATTTAGTATGAGTACATGGGATGTTTGATTTTCCATTCTTCTGATAGGTTACGTAGGAAAGTGTTCTCTAAATCCACAAAATCTCTGGTGGCTCACGTCTGTAATCCTAGCACTCTAGGGGGCTGAGGCAGGTGGATCACTTGAGCTCAGTGGTTAAAGACCAGCCTGAGTAAGAACAAAACCCCATCTCTAAAAAATAGCCAGGCATTGTGGCAGGCGCCTGTAGTCCCATCTACTTGGAAAGCCGAGGAAAGAGGATCTCTTGAGCCTAAGAGTTTGAGGTTGCTGTGAGCTATGACACCATGGCACTCTACCCAGGGGCAAAAAAGTGACACTCTGTCTCAAAAAGAAAAAAAAAAGAGATACAAAGCTCTATCTTTTATGACTGAATAGTATTCCATAGTATACATATGCCACAATTTATGCAACAAAAATAAAAAGGCTTTCAACAAAAATAAGTCTTGAACAGGATGGTTTCATAGCAGAATTCCACCAAACCTTCCAAGAAGAGCTTGTACCTGTATTGCAGAACCTACCGAGAAACCCTGAGAAGGAAGTAACCCTCCCCAGCTCCTCTACAGAGCAAATATCACCTTGCCTGCTACCAAAACCAGGAAGGGACTCAACAGAAAAAGAAAACTAGCGACCAATATCATTAATGAATATTGATGTGAAAATACTCAATGAAATCCTGGCAAACAGAATTCAGCTACACATCCGAAAACATAATACATCATGACCAGTGGGCCTTCATCCCAGGGGTGCAAGGCTGGTTCCAAGGCAAATGGTTCAACACACACAAGTTCATATACGTAATTCATCACATAAATACAAGTAAAAACCAAGACCATGTGATCCTCTCAATCGACACAGAAAAGGAATTTGACAAAATTCAGTGTCCTTTTGTGATAAGAACACAATGAGTTTTAAATAAATGGGATGGGTGTTCCCAAGGCTGGGTGTGGGTCGATCGGCAGCAGCAGCCACTAGGGGGCACCGTGCACGGGAAACCTCAGGTGGTGAATACTGAACGGTCCTCCTGAGTCCTGCTTGGTGCAGGTGCAGCAGGAAAATGGCACCTTCAGATATCTCATCCTTTCTCCTCCCTTATCCTACCGCCCCTTTACCTACTTCCACACCTAATGCCCTATGTTCCCAAAGAGGGTTCCCGAAGTGGGTTCCCAGCATCTTTTGCGCCCCTGGACATTAGATGTTCACTGGTTTTCCTAAAGAGGAAAGAGATGAGCTGTCAAAAGTATTTGGGAAATGGCAGGTTAAGCACAGTTTACCAGTTTTTATTACCACAGGATTTTTCAGAGCCTTTAATCTGCTCATCTGATAACTATAACTACTGTTACAATAATACCAGTAATAACCTACATGCGTCTGTCATCTCTCATATATATGACAGGTGCTGTGACACGTTTTAAGCATTCTTCTCTCACAGTGACCGAGGAGGTAGGTGAATATGACTGCCTCTCTTTTGCAGATCAGAAAACAAGGGTGCAGAGAGGTCGAATGACTTGCTGAGGAAGACGTTCCATCAGGACTTGAACCCCGTGGTGTCTGAGTCTGAGCCATCACACCCAGAGGGCCCCTCCCTTTTAAGGAAGTGGCAGAATATGGGAGGTGAGGGCATACAACACTGCCCCCCCAACCTTCTCATCACACCTCCTGTAGACTCTGGGTCTAGAAGTTTTGTAGAGAATTCTAGAGCAGAGCAATGACCACAGAGGAACTTGGGTCTGGCCCTCGCTGGAACCCTTTCTCCCCTCCCAGATAAGACAGTATAAATAAATAAATGTGCATTTAGCAAGACAAGTTAAATTAACGTGGTTTGTGAAAACAGGTTCTCAGCTTCTACTTTTGACCTGACCTGAAATATGCTCTAAATGTATCAGATGACAGGCTGATATAAGGACAGGGCTGCAGATTGCTTCCAAAAGCTGTCACGGGGATCATAATGGCTTTGTTTTTCACAAGGGAGAGGAAAAAAAAAGTTTACACCTCAATTTAGTAGGTCTATCATGTTCCAAATTGTTTGCATTTCTAAAAATGGACTTTGACATGTGAACAGTTATTATCTAATGCAAGACCCAAAAATCTGTCTCTCTCAAGGCAACAACTGGGTAGCCGGAGGTGTGGGGTTCTCCTTAGACACATGGATGCAAAGTTCCTTCTTGATGAGGAAATTGAGCAGACCCTTATCTCCTCACTCCCAGATACCTTGTTGTTTCTGAGCCTCTGGGACCCTGGTCAAATGCCCCTCTTCAGAGCCTTCACCACAAAAAACAATCTGAAGAAGTAATCAAAGGGTCTTAGTTTCCCAGGATTATCTGTGTTACAGTGGTGTGGTCCCAGACTAGCAGCACCAGCATCACCCTGGGACCTGCTAGCAGTCCAACTGCTTGGGCTACATCCAAGTCCTAGTGAGTGAATCAGAAGTTCCAGGGCGGCACCCAGGAATCTGCGTTTGGACACCCCTCTAAGCGATTCTGAAGTGAACACAGTGACTCAAACATAAGAGCCACTGGTCCAGTGTTCTCTCCCCTGCTTCAGTCACCCACTGCAGCCTCTCAGTTCTCCCTTCACCAGATTTTCTTCTCACCATCCTCTACCCACCTGCCAGCAAGAGCCTCCATGGGTGTTCCCAACTCCAGTCGACACTCCCCTAATCCAGGCTCCACTTAGAAGTCAAAAATGGTGATGCTGGTGCCCTTTCCTCGGCCTCTGCAATGTCTCCAAATTCCCCACTGGCCAAAGAGTTCCCCCTCCTCTTCCTTGAGCTACTAGGTTATCCCCACGACCAATCCAACAAAGGGTAAGGAGCGAGGAAAGAAGAAAACGGCGTCTCTGGTCTGATCTGAAAGGAGCTGCTTCCCTCCCACCCGCGAGAGCAACAGCTTAGACTAAGGGTCAGACAGAGTCAGGTTCAAATTGCAGCCCTGACTTGGGGCCAGCAAGCCTTCTCCTTGCTCAGACAGCATGTCCGCATTTCTTTTATGTATTTTTAAATTTAGGATTAATCTGCAGGTACAAATGTTTAGGTTACATTGTTTAAGTTTCTCAGGTAGAGTGCAGGCTGTAGTTGAGTGCTTCACCCAGGGTCCTCTGTGTACAGATTGTGCACATTAGGTGAGAAGGGGGTGTGGCGACGGCTACACAGTTCCTGGAGAATTAAATAACACAGTGATGCAAAGGGCCAGGACTCTGGCACATGGCAGGGAGCGGATCCATCAAGTCTGGCTCCCACCCCGCCCAATCACAGACTCACACACCAAGTCAAGCAACTCCTTACTGCTCAGCTGCCCACTATGCAGCCTCAGGAAAGTTAAAACTAGCATTCTGTCCTCTTCAAGGCTAATCATTCCCAAGACCCTTGCCAATAACTGGTTTACGTCTATGTCCCCTCAAAAGTGTGTTCTTTCTCCCACAGGAATTACCTTGGGTTTCCACTTAATGCCTTTGTAGCTTTCTGAGGAGAAAAGCAACACATTGTGGCTTACCCGGGATGGTTTCTCACAGCGGCATCTTCCTTCAGGCAGCGAGCATTGGGAAATGAGGGGAACACACTGCCCCACAATTGCCCCGTGCAGGTGTGTGCCGTGCACACACACACACACAACACCTACACACTGGAACTGACACAAACTTGCAGGTGCCACCAAGCCAGACACACATGTGCACGGGTCACACACAGACATTAGGACTCTCTGTCCTTTTGTTATTTAATGGTAAAGTCAACAACACCTGGACAAAAGACCTACAAAAAGCTGTACGGTACCTTTTGGTGACTTAAGTGTTGATACAGTCCCGTCACCATCAGAACTTCCTAAAAAATAACAATTGAGAGATGCTGATCTGTTTGCAGCGTGCCCGTGGTCATTGTATCCTCACACCCAGTGCTGCAGCTGCCTCAGCTGCAGCCTCCAAAGGGGCAGGCCTCAGGGGACCCTGGGAGCAGGGGAGGAGTCGAGTGTGAACATCTCTTTCTGCAAGTGTGAACTTCCAGCTGTGTGCACCTTTCTGCAAGTGTGAACTTCCAGCTGTGTGCACCTTTCTGCAAGTGTGAACTTCCAGCTGTGTGCACCTTTCTACAAGCAGGAATTCCAGCTGTGTGCACCTCTCAACACCCAACAGAAGGTTAAAAGAAGTCCCCTGAAAAAGCTAGATACTTTCAGTTATATAAGGAAGAGAGATAACTCTTAACAGAAACTCTTGCTTTAACTTTCAACCTGCTTAGAAATAAAGGAAAATTTGAGTTCTATGAGCTCACCTTGGCTAAAGACCACACTCTGAGGACAAGAGATGAATTTTGCTTCTGTTTCACTGCAATCCCTCTCCTGAAAGGGGTGCATTACTAGCTTCAAAGTCAAGGTTGGGACAGGCTCTGCTGACTACATCTTTATTTTTTTATCTCTGTTTCTTAAATCTTTTCTATATTGCATAAGGTTTGTTTTCCATTTTTTTATTTCAAAGTATCGCAGTGATGAAAATGTTTTTGGTTACATGGATCACTTTTATAATGCTTGCTTGAGTCAGGGTTATGAGTGGGTCCATCACCCAGATAGTGTTCCCTGCACCTGTCAGGTAGGTTTTGCCGTCCCTTCTCCCCACTCCCCTGCTCGATTCCCATTGAATTCACTTCCCTCTGTGCACATGTGAGCTCATCAGTTAGTTCCAATTTAATAGTGAGCTCACATGGTAACAGGTCAGCTGTGTGCTTTTCCATCCCTCAGATGCTTTACTTAGGATAATGGCAGGAATGGAACAGCATCCGTATCTTTCACTACTCACAAAAATTCATTCAAGATGGATAAGAGACTTAAATGTAAGGCATTAAACCATAGGAATTCTAGAAGGAAATGCTGGGGGAAAGCTCGTCTGAACACTGGCCTAGGCAAAGAATTTATAAAGAAGACACCAATGGCAATCACGGCAATGGCTGCCCTTTAAATACAAGTGGTGAGCTCTGTGGGGTAGACTGCCTTGCACACAATTTGTGTTGAGAAAAGATTGTTGAATGAATGAATGAATTCAACTTTATCCACAGCATCACCTTCCTAAGGTATGGAAATTCCCCTAAACACTTAAGGGATCAAGCTTGTTATCTGAGAATCCCCATAAGGAGTAATACATTACTTTAAACAACAGATGTGTGCCTAGAATGCTCATTATAAATCAGTTTCTCCAAATTGAATTCCTTTTCAGAGGTACTGAATGAGGCCTGGGGGATCTACTATTATTAACAGAACCCCATGGTGACTCCTTTCATAGAATAAAGGATGGTGAGCATGGCCACAGTCACACCTATCCTTTAGCTACCCCACTTTTTTTTTTTCCTTATGAAAATAAATATTCCCAAGAAGTTAATCTGAAGTACAGAGCTGGGGGAGAGGGGCAGGAAGCAGGACCAGCATTCAAGATGGGCACATGGCTCCCTCCTCCAGAAGGCACCAGGCTCTTAGTTCGTTCCTGTGCCAGAGGCTCACACACCCCTTCCCAACCCAGAGCTACACAAGTTGCCCCTTTCTTTTATTTTTCTTTATTAAATCATGATGGTGTACATTAATGCATTTATGGGGTATAATATGCTGAATTGATAAACAATGTGGAATGCTTACATCAAACTAATATAACCATCACCTCACTTATTTGTTGTGATAAGACATTTATACTCTATTCTTAATAGTTTTCAAGTTGCCCCTTTCTTGAAGATGATGCAATGTGTCCCCATGTTGGCTATGAGCTTCCAACTGGCCCCAAGACAGTTGGGGTGGTGGGGGCTGAAGTCTCTGGTCAAAGCCAGGCTTAAGTCCCTGTGCCAATTTTACAATCAGGGAAGAAATGAGTCAAGTTTAGAAAACGCCCAGTTGAGATATTCAGCCACAGGACAGCTGTGTCCTCAGGAGTAACTTTTCTTTCATCAAAGTTAAGCCCAAGCCCTAGGCTGCTGCCGGGGAAGCAAACGGACAAGCTTGCCTTTCAGCAACGATGGAAGGCCCAGGATATTCTCCAGGCGTTGGGCTCTTCACAGCGGTTGCACAGGGGTTAAAGACACTGCTGCTGCTGCTGCTGCTTGGTCACCTTGGTTGGGTCAGAGACCTTGAAGAAGGCTGGGGCCAACTCCACAAGCCACCAGGGGTCAATGGTGGTGACCTCACACATGTATTCCCTCATGGTGAGCACCAGCTCGTGGTATACCACCCATTCTGGCCGTCTGTGGAAGAGAGTGCTGGAAGGGGGGCTGTGGACCACCTGCTGGTCAATCAGTGTCCGGTAACCCTCCTGTGGGTCCTTCTTGGCAGCCTTATGGAATAACCCACTGCAGGTGGCCTTCTGCACTTGGACTGTGGACTTACTGCAGGAAATGACACCCAGCTTGTGCCTGTCCATTATGCCTGCCATCTGCTTCCAAATGTCCTGGGCCCAGTGCAGGGAACAAGCCCGGATAAAGTTCTCATGGCACCATGGTTTGAGAAATTGTTTTTCCAGGAGTTGTACACAGCCAGCAGGGTGAGGTGGCCCCCTTCAGTGTGGTGAGACTTGGCCTTCTTCTGATTAGTGAGGGCTTGTTTGTCCTCAGGTCTGTAGAAGACGCTTTGGACAGACAGCATGGATACAATGGTCAGCATTTCCTTGCTGCAGCCTGGATGCACAGCCATTATCAGCATTTTGCACAGCAGAGGCTCCAGAGGGAACTCTGCCATCCTGCAGCCCACAAAACTGAACAGGCCCTCATCACCCAGGGCCCCCAGTGTGTACAGCGGCTCCATGGCTGTGATCAAAGTTTCCACTGGGGGTGAGTCCATGAAATCAAAGGACAGCAGGTCATTGATGCCCATGGCCTTGAGAGATAGCACTGTGCTGGCTAAGTTCCTTCTCTGAATTTCCGGCACATTAGTGGTCAGTATTTCATCCTGGTAGGCACATTCCCTGTACAGCCTGTAACACTTCCCGGGGCCTGTACTCCCAGCTCTGCCAGCTGGTTGCTTTGCCTGTGCCTGAGAAATAGGCATCACCAGAAGCTGGTCAATCCCTGTCTTTGAATTGTAAATGTTCTGCTTCACAAATTCAGGGTCCACAACATAGTAGATGCCATCTATCGTCAGTGATGTCTCTGTGATGTTGGTGGCCTTCACAACCTTTCTGCTGCCTGGTGGACTGGGTCAAAGACTGGGGTCTGCATCTCGCTGGGAAGAGCAGAGTACACTGTGAGAATAATTAACTCAGGAACATCAGGTCCCAGGGATTTCATTCTTTCATATAGGATCTCACAAGCTGCATCAATCTCTTCCTGACCAGTCAGGAAGACCAGGATGTCCCCCTGGTGGCTCTGTTAAATGAATCTGCATGACAGTGATCAGGCTGGCACCCTGATAATCTATCTCAAGTTCCTTTGTGTACAGTATTTCCACTGGATATGTCCGATCTGGGATAGTGAAGATGGGAGCTTTGTAGAAGTACTGAGAAAACTTCACTGCATCCAAGGTGGCTGAGGTGGCAATCAGCTTCATGTCCTGCCGTTTCTGAACTGTGTTTTTCAATAATCCAAAGAGCACATCAGTGTGAACTGTCCTCTCATGCGCCTTGTCCAACATGATGATGGCATACTGAGTGAGGTCAGGGTCAATTGGGCACTCTGAGCAACATCCCATCGGTCAGGTACTTGATGACTGTTTGGGGGCTAGTGCAATCTTCAAATCAAATGCTGTAGCCCACCTCTTGGCCTAAGCAGCAACCAAAGTCCTCTGATACTCTTTCGGCCACTGACATGGCTGACACTCTCCTGGGCTGGGTATACCCAATCTTGCCCCTGGAAGTGTAGCCAGCCTCTGCCAGGTACTGGGTGATCTGTGTTGCCTTGCCATCTCCCCCAATAACAATCAGGATCTCATTGTCATGGGCAGCCCGGACCAGCTGCCCCTTCAGGTTGTAGATGGACAGGATCTGATTGTCATGGACAGCCTGGACCTGGACCAGCTGCACCTTCAGGTTGTAGATGGACAGGATCTGATTATCATGGACAGCCTGGACCTGGACCAGCTGCCCCTTCAGGTTGTAGATGGGCAGGATCTGATTGTCATGGACAGCCTGGACCTGGACCAGCTGCCCCTTCAGGTTGTAGATGGGCAGGCTCTCCTTCTGCTCAATGATTGATAGTGGGTCTTCTTCTCATAAGCAGCCTGGTTGCCCCCAAAGGCATGCTTCTTCCACTCAGGAATGTGGTTAGGCATCACCCCAGTGCCCCTCACATTGGCAGCAATTTTCCTTCTTCAGCATGGGGCAGAGGGTCAACCCAATGCTTGTTGAGTCCCATGGGAACAGAATCCATCTCAGCTTCCTGCTGTGCCTGCTTGAGTTTCCACCGTCCTTTGGCCAAAGCACTCTGCACCATCACTGCCTGGGGGAGGGAGCCATCTGGGTTCTTCAGGATTTTAATGGGGCTCATGTTCATGCTTGGCTTGGTGTGCCCGTTTAGGAAGGGAGGCTCTTCCTCAACCAATTTGATCTCCGTATCTTCATCTTCTTCACCATCCACCTTAGGGACAATGCCAGTCTCTTCATCAGAGTCTGGAAATTCTTCTCTGGAAAGCACACTAGCAGTGAGCATGTTTGAGCTCCCACTTCTCTGCGTCAGAGGCGCAGGCCAGGTGCCTGCGATCCCCGACTCATCCTCCCCTTCAGGGGCCCTGACCACCGGGAGCCGAGCGGGTCTGTCCGGATTCCGCACTGAGGCCTCCTCATCGTTCTCCTCTCTGACAAGATTTCGTCCTCGGTTTGGGTTTAAATCTCCTCCAGTCTCTTGATCCACATCCCTCGTGCTCAGGC